GGGCTGCCCAGGGAAGGGGTTGAGTCCCCATCCCTGGGGGTATTTAAAAGCTGGGCAGAGGAGGTGCTTAGGGCCAGGGTTTAGTGGTGGGATGGCAGGATTAGTGGAGCAGTTAGGCTTGGGGAGCTTAAAGGGTTTTTCCAACCTCAACAATTCTGTGGTTCTATGAAAATGGGGACAACATTCATCAGCTTCCAGGCAACTGGGACCTCCCCAGACTCCAAAGACTGTTGAAACATAATGGAGAGTGGTCCCGTGATGACATCGGCCAGCTCTTACCATACCCTGGGATGAACCCCGTTGGGACCCATAGCCTTACGGTCACCCAGCTGGAGCAGCAAGGCTCAAACACGTTTGGGGTTGGCTGGGTTTATTGTCCCCCCAGTCATGGTCTTCCAACACAGGGCTCCGGGGGTGCTGTGGCCTGTCAGCTGTGTTGAAGAAGAGGCGAAGGAGACATTAAACATCTCCACTTTTTCTATGTCCCTGTCTGTGAGGTGACCGACCTCGTCAAACTATAGACCAATGTTATCTCCGATAACATTGCCAAGGTAGCAGGGTGGTTGTGGGCTACACTGTATTGCAGCTGTCTGACGTGTCCTTGGGGTTTGGTGGTACCGCAGATGCTCCCCGCCCCCTCACCCCCATCCCTCACCAGGCTGCAAAAGAGTAAGCAAAAGGAAATTTAAAAGCTCTCTTGTTTTAATCTGCTCATCTACATACAAACACTTCCTTTTCTGCCTCTCCGGCTGCAGCGCAGACAGAGCTGGAGTGGCCGACCCCACCGTGGTGGTGGTGCCGACACCGAGAGCTGCCCCATGCCCAAGGTAGGGGCTTCGCCAGAGCCAGAGGGGGATGTGGGGGATCAGAGCGGTGCAGGGGGCTCGCCGGGGCACCGAGCTGCTCCCCATGAAGGCAAAACCCCCCCAAAGTGAAACCCATGCCTTGAGGGCACAGAGAGGGAACGATAGCCTCTCTGGCTCGGTGGCAGCAGGGGTGGCGGTTTGGCAGTGCCGGGCTGTGCCGGGTGGCAGGGGAGGTTGGGTCAAGCACCCGCACTGGGTGCTCCAGGATCTGAGGGTTACGGCAGTGAGAAGTAAAAGGGTTATTTATTGCATGGGGCACATGGTGGCTGCCCTTGTGGGGGTCGGGGGGCAGCCTGTGCAAGCAGCTGCCCACCGTGCTGCCTGGCGCACTGCTGCTCCTGCTCCAGGAGACTCTGGCTGTGCTGGCCATCACCAGCCTTAGCGCCTTGAGGCATCAACCCTATCGCTGCACCCACAGTAAAAACCATTTGTGCATCGGGGTCGCACCCCGGCACCACTGTACTTGCAGCTTCTCTGCCCAGCTGCTTTTGGTGCTGGCGGTGTTACTGCGTGGCGGGTGTCACGGTGAGCAGCACGGGGTGCGGTGTTGCAGTGGATGCAAATCTTGCTGCCAGCTGCCTTCCCCCCCACCCTGCAGACAGGGATACTTCCTCCTCCCCAGCTCGGCACTGGGCTGCTGCCAGCGAGCCCTAGCACCGTGGTGGAGCATGCCGGTGACCCTCCTGGCTTGCTGGCTGCTTGCTGGGATTTGCAGCCATGGGCTGGGATGGCAGCGAGGTCTGAGTCCCGGTTATGGGGGGGGAAAAGCAGAAGCCTTGCCCCCATGGTTTTACAACCTTAATGGTAAAACGGATGCAGCTAACGCCCTCCTCCTCGCCCCGCGCTCGCATCCGCTGCCAGTGCAGCTCCTTGGCGCTTCCGGGCTGGGGCTTGGCTGCCACCATGGCTTTGGTGGGGCTAGGTGCAGGGAAGCCACTGGGACCCCATCCTTGTCCTGCACCTGGCGAATGGGAAAGGGCTGAGGTCCCGGGGGACGTGGGTGGGGGCTCTGGGGAGCTGCCCAGGTCCTGGGTGCCTTTTGCAGGAGAGGACCACAGCGATGTCCACCCCACTGCTCATCGCCCTTCTCTGCCTCACCACCTCCATCCTGCAGGCTCAAGGTAGGGAGGTCTCCTTCTCCCATCCTGGTGTTGGGCTGGGTGCTTTCGGAGCCATTCAGGGCTCCCTGGGCTGGGGCATGATGGGGAGAGGGGCAGGGTGCTGTACACTGAGGCTCAGCTCCCAAAATAACTCTGACAGGGATGGACGAGCAGGTCCTGGAGAATATGCTGCAGCAGGGCTGCAAGAGCACCCTGCACACCAAGTGAGTGCTGGCTCCCGCCCTGCTGTACCCCAGACCTCCACACTCCCCCCAGACGCTGCCCCAAACGCCCTTCCTGTGCAGGTTAAAACAGCTAGAAGAGAAGCTGGCCCACCAGGAGAAACACAACTTCACAGGCAGCATGATCGAAACCTACGTGTTCAAGTTCATGACCAAGCACTTCAGAGGGTTAAACCTCAGCAGCAGGATGGTTGGTTCCCCCAATGCCGGTAGCCCCCTGGGCTAGTGGGAGGTGCCAGGGGGACGCTGGCGTGGCTGATGCTTGCCCACACTGGTTTTCCATCATCCTCTAAGGGTGCTTTACACCAGCAAAGTCTCCCGAGACGTGGTTCTGCTGGGGTGCCGCAGGCAGCTGGGGCCACAGGTCCCCAGCATCATAGCTGGGATAAATCCAGGGGCTTCTAAAGCTTGGGGGGCGGTGTGTGTGTGTGTGTGTTCTGCAGCCAAGAACCAGGACTTCCATCCGGAAGCTCTTCTGATTTATGAAAGGGAAGCTCTGGCACCCACCAGAGGGGAAGGGAGAGGGAAACCATGGTGGGGAGAACGCAGGGCGACTTCCCCATCCCAGTGCAAGGGGGTCACCTGGCAGCTCTGCAGCACTTCCCTGGCTGCGGGGCTGCCCTGCCTGGGAGGTCCAACTGCTCCGGCCTGAGGCCCCTTCCTGCAGGACAAGGCAAGTTTTGCAGACAGAGGTACCTGCCTGCCAGCTGGGACCCCCAGCTCAGGACCTGGGAGAAGGGACTGTCTGGGGAGCCCACCAAGATATGAAATCACACTGGGAAAGCATCCTGGCACAATGCCATCTGACCCGTGCTTGCCCCAAGGCAGGGCTGGCGGGACAGATGTGCCCACCCATGGGTAATGGACCCCCCCACCCACAGCCCTCCCGTGTGCTATGGGGCTGGGAGGGCTCCGATGTTGAGATGGGTTGGCTACCATACCTGCATGTCTGCAGGCACTGTGGCAGAGCTGGAGCTGCCACCAGGGTTGGGTGATGCTGCGGGGCCCCACCGGTAACAGGGGGAGCAGCTGGGGCAGCCCCCTGATCCCCCCGAGCCAGCCGAGCACAGGGCGGCCAAACCCATCTCTCCCCTGCCAGCCAGAGCAGGGTGTGAAGTCAGGAGCTGAGAGGAGGCTCAGACACGCCATGAGCTTCCCAGCAGAGCTCATGGAGGGGATACGGGCACGGGAGGTGGAGCAGAAGCTCATCTGCATCTATATCCACAGCCCCTGCATCTTCCGGGTGAGCTACAGGTCCTCGCACCGACTGGCTGAGCGTCCTCGGCCAGCAGCACGCCCACCCCATCACCCACCCCACGCTGCTGAGCAACAGCGTGCTGGGAGCCTTCCTGCAGAGCGGGCGCGTGGCTGGGCTCAGCCACCCTGTGGAGATCCAGTTCTGGCACAACATGGTGCTGGTGAGCAGGGCTCCGCTGCGGGCACGAGCCGGGGAGTCCCCAGTGCCAGTGTTTCCCCTGGAGTTGGGGAAAGAGAAAGTGTCCCCCCTTTGCATTGGGACCAGAAGGTTTCTGGGGTCCCTGGGAATTAGGGAGGGTCCCCAGCTCTCCCCCTCTGTCCCCATTCCATCAGGATGCCTCCAATGCCATCTGCGTCTTCTGGCAGCCCAGCACCGGTAAGTGTGGCCACGGCCAGGGCAGAGGTGATGCCAGCTCGGTGCCACCCCGAAGGCATTGCCCGTCTGCCTCCCGGGCAGCCCTGGCAGGGCTCGACTGTCCCCATGCCCTGGCTGCTGTGCCACCCTCTGACGGCAGCTCTCCGATAGGCGCGGGCGCGGGCAGCTGGAGCATGGAGGGCTGCAAGACCATGCACAGGGAGGGCACCGTTATCTGCCACTGCAACCACCTCACCTACTTCGCCGTCCTGCTGGTCCACAATCCCCTTCCTCCTTCCCTCTTCCACCTTCCCTCCTTCCTTCTTCCTCCTATTCCCATGCTCCTTCCTCCTTTCCCCCTTTCTGCTTCCTCCTTCCTTCCCTCTTTCCTTCATTCTTCCTCCCCTCTTCCTCCTTCCCTTGTTCCCTCCTTCCCTCTTCCTTGTTCCCTCTTCTTCCTTTCTCCCTCCTCCCTCCCTATTTCCTTCCTTCCTGCTTCCTTCTTCCCTCCTTCTTCCTTCTCTACTTCCATCTTCCCCCACCCTCCATCCTCCTTCCCTCCTTCCAGCTCCCTCCTTCCATCTTCCTCTTTTCCCCTTCCCTCCATCCTTATTCCTCCTCCCTGGAGGTGTGGGTGTAGGTAGGCGTGGGGGTACAGACTGTGTGTGGGGGTACAGGGTGTATGGGGGGGTACAGGGTTGTATGGGGGGGTCCTGCTGACTAGATCTTCATGGGAATAAAA